CCTGTAATTGCTTAATTTGTGTAACGGAAACCAAAAATGAAAATATTATAAACAGTACTAGAATAAGCCTAAAGCTCCCCCCCCCCTCCTATCAGTGTCCTGACTTAAACTACAGGGTGAAAATATGAGACTGCAAATACGACCCAAAACTCTAAAACTATGACGATGTGAAGCTTATTTTTTGGTTTCTGAGTCGTTCAATGAGTATTTTGAAGGTTTACTAAATGATTAAGAAGAGAAATAAGCTAGTTTTGAACCTTGAATGCAAGAAAACGGACTAATTAAATTCCGTCTCTGAAGTCTCATCCTTTGTGGGTACTGGGGAACCCGGTGTACGATATAATAATAAAGGTATTTTCAATAATTATCACTTGAATTGGAAATATGCAAAAAAATGCATTGGAAATTTGAATTTTTTTGTGATTCATTTTGACCCAAGGAAATATGTATTTCTTGTAATCCTTGTAAAGACAGAACTTTGGGATAGTTCGTAAAATAAAATCACGCAACCTCTGATTTATCAAATCGCACAATTAATTTTAGGCTATGGTAGATTATAGATAAGTTTTAAGTAGCGCTAAGCCAATAGCCATACAGCTTACCGCGTAACCAGGGGGTGTGCAAAATAAAAATTTATAGAATCTCAAACCATGATTTGTGAGTGACTTGTAAGTGTATATGTAATGTCTATATGGGTCGGATGAAATGAAATGATAAAATGAAGGGTTTAGCTGAAGGATGGGTTAAATGAAAAGAAATGATGAAATGAAGGGTTTAGCTGAAGGATGGATTGAATGAAAAGAAATGATAAAATGAAGGGTTTAGCTGAAGGATGGATTAAATGAAAAGAAAGGATGAAATGAAGGGTTTAGCTAAAGGATGGATTGAATGAAAAGAAAGGATGAAATGAAGGGTTTAGCTGAAGGATCGATTAAATGAAAAGAAATGATGAAATGAAGGGTTTAGCTGAAGGATCGATTAAATGAAAAGAAATGATAAAATGAAGGGTTTAGCTGAAGGATCGATTAAATGAAAAGAAATGATGAAATGAAGGATTTAGCTGAAGGATGGATTAAATGAAAAGAAATGATGAAATGAAGGGATTAGCTGAAGGATGGATTGAATGAAAAGAAATGATGAAATGAAGGAGAAGGGTATAGCTGAGGTGCATGTTGTACTATTGACCTTATCCTGGAGTTTAAGGGGTTTTCAGTCCCATTTATTATCATTAATGTTGGGCTCTTCGAGGACTTAAAGCCATTCAACAGTTTCGTAGAGCATTGAGCCAACAGATTATCTATATATATAATATATCTGTTTGTCAGTTTGTTTGTATGTCCAATCATAACTCAGGAACCCCTTGACCGATTTGCCTTAAATTTTGATTGGGGGGAACTCGGGAGAACCACAGGAATACTCTTAGCTTGGTTTAGCTGAGTTGAGTAGGGAAAAATAGCTAAAATCGTAGTTTACGTACGAGCGCGGGTAAACGGCGGGAGTAACTATGAGTATATTGAGTACCCTGGGCAACGCTGGGTTCTCAAGCTAGTAAAATATATGTATATCACATAGATGTACCTTGCATCTAAATCCATTTTTTATGGTAAATCTAAGCTAATGGAGAATACGAATGAAATTAATTTATTAATTAATGAAATGGAAAGGACAGGGTTGGGTTGGATACAAGAATTTATTAGGGGTGAGCGAAACTGTTAAAGCGCGTAGCGCGAAACTTTTTATTTCTTGGTCGAGCAGAGGAAACACTAGAGAGAATATAAACCTTGAATTTAACCTCATATTGCAGAAGTTTTTAGGTGTAGTTATATCCATCAACCTTCACATCATTTTCTCCTTTTTTTCCTGTGGACTTAAACTCACATTACATCTCAATGTTAAAAGCATAGCTCACTACGCCAATTTGCGCGCGAAATTCAAACTAAACATATAACTACTAAACACTCTTTGCAGTCTTTTATTTTAACCATCTCTCCATCTTCTGTATCTCTTCCTTTCAGCTTCAGCCACAGGGGTGAGCAATTTAGCCGCAGGGATGAACAATTTTCCAGGGGTGAGCGGCCGCTCCATGGCTCACCCCTGTATCCGCACCTGAGAAGGGATGAATAAGGTTGATTTTTGACTCCGTTCTTTGATTTTTATCAAACGAAAATGGACTAAATATTAGCTACAATTTTAGACTGCCTCTTTTTGTATGAAACAATTTTTTGACAATATAAATTGTATTTTTTAACCACCGTATCATTATTTTCTTCCAGTTTTTTTCTGAAAACATTATTACTGAATTAATCTTCAAAGAAAAATTTATTTCAAGAAAAATGGCCGTTTCTGCAGCTTAGTATACTTAATATTTTGGTGCACCATCGTCATTCGTCCTAGATGTAGTCCGGACCAGGCGCGTAGTGGAGGGTTAGCTTAGAGGGGGGTGCACTTTTGAAAAACAATTTTTTTGTGAACCCCCCTAACGGTTGATGTGCACCCCTCTAAAAAACCGTTATTAAGAAAAAATAAAGTTTAAAATCTATATTAATCTACCTGAAGGCTGACTATCCGTCATCATGACCATAATTATCAATCATTTTAAATGAAACCCCGCGAAAAAAAGTATTGTAAATAAGACTAAGGTACAGGTAAGAAAGAATTTGAGAAATAATCATAAAATGGACCTTGTCGATTGATAAGAAAAGTAAAAAATCTGAATATATATGTAAGTTTACTGTTTAATAAATTAGAGCCTGCCTCTGGCTCTAAGGGGGCCTAGGGGGGTGCATGTCTAGGGGGGCACAGAGGTACCGCCCCCCTCCCCTTCACTACGCACCTGGTCCGGACCCTGAACGCCTGCTGTGGTTCCATATATACCCTGAGACAGATGAACTAAGGATGAGAATTATGCAACTATAAAACTCAACAGTCATTGCACATCTATACAGAGAGTATACTTAGTCGGGTCAAGGAGCAGGGTGGAGAAGAACAAGGTTAAAGCTGTGTCATGGTAAAGGGATTGTTTACATATTGGAACACAGTCATCATGTATCAGAGCATAAAGGGATTGTGTGTATGAAATGTAATCAATTGTGTTTAAAACGTGCTTAAAACTTTTCCAATTATGTTTGGAACATGACAAGTTTACAACACACCCCTTCTGAACAAAAAAAGAGGTTTAATTAAAAGCACATTGGATGCGGCCTGTTCCAAGTGAAAGCTGGATATCTGTTAGACTTATTTTGACCTTTTTTAAAATCTGATCTGATCCTTCTTGGTAGTTATATAGATAAATTTTCGGGACATCCGGTAAACATAAATAAAAATTTTTCAACAGTTTTGATATAAATCATGATGACCTCAATTCCCTTAATTGATCTTTTATTGAATATTTTTTTCCTTTTCTAGAAAGAACATGTTTTTGTTAATGTTTTTTTGCTTTAGAAAATTTGTCATTAAGAGTACTGGATCATCTGTAAAATTCATGGTTCAGGTTTAGATAATTAGTTGGTAATTTCCTCGATAACGATTTTTGGATCCCCCCCTTCTCCTATTAATTTTGTACATTTTGTATAATAGATCATGTGGCCGCAGCGCCCGGCCCCCTAGCCTGTCCTAGCCGCGGTACTAGGCCCCATGGGCCCATAGCCTGTCCTAGCCGCAGCGCTGGGCTCAGAAATAGTCTAAACCTAACCTAACCCTAAAACTCTAGGACAGACCCCAATTAATTTCTAGGGTTTAATGATAAATCCATGATTCATGATTAACTCTAAGGATTGAAAACTGTTTAGTATTAAGAGAAATATAGAGAAATTGTTGATTGTAGATGTTGCTATTGTATAGGTTAAAACCTTATAATCCGCATCATCTGTTTATATTTAAATATCTAAATTATTGTAAGTTGTATTCCTGGGAAAATAGCACTGGCTGACCACTAACTGTATCTGTGGTAAACCAGGATACTGAGATATAAGTTTCTAAACCTGAAGAATTGTTGAACCATGTATCTCCAGGAATCAAACAATGGAATATTATACTTCTAGAGTCTTATCTTCTCAATACAACTTAGACAGCTTAGATAAACTTAGAGAGATCAAAACCAAGGATAGTTTAGAGAAGGATTGATGGTTGAAACCAAGGATAGTATAGAGAAGGATAGATGGTTTAAACCAAGGATAGGATAGAGAAGGATTGATGGTTGAAACCAAGGATAGTATAGAGAAGGATTGATGGTTGAAACCAAGGATAGTATAGAGAAGGATTGATGGTTTAAACCAAGGATAGTTTAGAGAAGGATAGATGGTTCAAACCAAGGATAGTATAGAGAAGGATTGATGGTTCAGACCAAGGATAGTATAGAGAAGGATAGATGGTTTAAACCAAGGATAGCTAAGAGAAGGATAGATGGTTTAAACCAAGGATAGTATAGAGAAGGATCGATGGTTCAGACCAAGGATAGTACAAAGAAGGATAGATGGTTTAAACCAAGGATAGTTAAGAGAAGGATAGATGGTTGAAACCAAGGATAGTATAGAGAAGGATTGATGGTTCAGACCAAGGATAGTATAGAGAAGGATAGATGGTTTAAACCAAGGAGAGCTATGAAAAATTCTGTTTCCTTCTCTCTTCACATTTAAATTATATCTAAGCCAAAGAGTTCAGGTTACACATATCATGTATATTTACAATATATATATATATATATATATATATATATATATACATGTATGGTGTCTGGAAGGTTATGCCCTCTAAAGTCTACAGGGCAATTTGTAAATGCTAATTAAAAAATACAAAAAACAAACTTAAGCCAATTCAAGCATAGTCAATTAGAACCATGTCACGGTATTTATTTCTTCAGCCATTTTTATTTTCGAAACTTAGTTCAATTTTAATTTTCGTTTATTTTCATATTTTTTCCAAACATCCTTTGCATCCTTTGCATCCTTTCCATTCCTTGCATCTTTTCCATTCCTTGCATCGTTTCCATTCCTTGCATCTTTTCAATGCTTTGCATCCTTTGCATTCTTTGCATCCTTTCCATTCTTTGCATCTTTTACATTCTTTGCATCGTTTCCATTCTTTGCATCCTTTCCATTCTTTGCATCCTTTCCATTCTTTGCATCCTTTGCATACTTTTCATTCTTTGCATCCTTTGCATCCTTGGCATCCTTTGCCTTCTTTGCATCCTTTGCATCCTTTGCATTCTTTGCATCCTTTGCATCCTTTTCATTCTTTGCATCCTTTGCATCCTTTGCATCCTTTTCATTCTTTGCATCCTTTGCATCCTTTGCATTCTTTGCATCCTTTGCATCCTTTCCATTCTTTGAATCCTTTCCATTCTTTGCATCCTTTGCATCCTGCGCATCCTTCGCATCCTTTGCATTCTTTGTATCCTTTGCATCCTTTGCATCCTTTGCATTCTTTGTATCCTTTGTATCCTTTGCATCCTTTCCATTCTTTGAATCCTTTCCATTCTTTGCATCCTTTGCATCCTGTGCATCCTTTGCATCCTTTGCATCCTTTGCATCCTTTGCATTCTTTTCATCCTTTGCATTCTTTACATCCTTTCCATTCCTTGCATCCTTTCCATTCTTTGAATCCTTTCCATTCTTTGCATCCTTTGCATCCTTTGCATCCTTTGCATTCTTTGCATCCTTTGGATCCTTTCCATTCTTTGAATCCTTTGCATCCTTTGCATCCTTTTCATTCTTTCTATCCTTTACATTCTTTGCATCCTTTGAATCCTTTGCATCCTTTGCATCCTTTGCATCCTTTGCATCCTTTGCATCCTTTCCTTCCTTTGCATCCTTTTCATTCTTTGCATCCTTTGCATCCTTTGCATTCTTTGCATTCTTTGCATCCTTTCCATTCTTTGAATCCTTTCCATTCTTTGCATCCTTTGCATCCTGTGCATCCTTTGCATCCTTTGCATTCTTTGTATCCTTTGCATCCTTTGCATCCTTTCCATTCTTTGTATCCTTTGCATCCTTTACATCCTTTGCATCCTTTGCATCCTTTGCATCCTTTGCATTCTTTTCATCCTTTGCATTCTTTACATCCTTTCCATTCCTTGCATCCTTTCCATTCTTTGAATCCTTTCCATTCTTTGCATCCTTTGCATCCTTTCCATTCTTTGAATCCTTTGCATCCTTTGCATCCTTTGCATCCTTTTCATTCTTTCTATCCTTTCCATTCTTTGAATCCTTTGCATCCTTTGCATCCTTTGCATCCTTTTCATTCTTTCTATCCTTTACATCCTTTGAATCCTTTGCATCCTTGCATCCTTTGCATCCTTTGCATCCTTTCCTTCCTTTGCATCCTTTCCATCCTTTTCATTCTTTCCATCCTATCCATTCTTTCCATACTTTACATCCTTTCCATCCTTTTCCTTCAATATTTTTATCCTGTTCATTCCGTCCTTTCCATCCTTTCTGTCCTTTCCGTCCTTTCTGCCCTTTCCATCATTTCTATCCTTTCCATCTTTTCTATCCTTTCCATTCTGTCCATCCTTTCATCCTTTTATCCATCCTTTCCATCCTTTCCATCCTTTCCATTATTTCCATCCTTTGTATCCTTTCCATCCTTTCAATCCTTCCAATTCTTTCCATCTTTTCCATTATTTCCATCCTTTGCATCCTTTCCATCCTTTACATCCTTTCCATCCTTTCCACCCTTTACATCCTTTCCATCCTTTCCATCCTTTTCATCCTTACCATCCTTTACATCCTTTCCATCCTTTCCATCCCTTCCATCATTTCCATCCTTTCCATCCTTTCTATCCTTTCCATCCTTTCCATCCTTTCCATCCATTCCATCCATTCCATCCATTCCATCCTTTCCATCCTTTCTGTACCCATTACAAGGTTTGTACTGTGTTTCTAATCTTTCACATTAATTGTATAGATTAAGTACTCACACGACTCCATTACTAAACCCTTTCCTCTTCACTAACAAGCGGAGATATATTCATACAAAATACAAATAATATGTATATTAAGCTCAACATATCATTTTCTACTAATATACATGTTTTTCTGCATAAAGAATATATAATTTGACACACATTGATAACCATTTATGCATGTTAAGAAATGAGATTAATGATATGCATGATGATATTTATCTAAAAGAATAGTTTTTTAATGATGATGTTGCTTGCGAATGTTTTATGTGCCTTAACTTTTTTATTTTAATAAAATATTTGATTGAGCGCCTTAAAGCCGCGGTATGTGTGTCATAGAGAATTAGACATTTTGTTGAACCGGAAGTACAAGATACAGTTTCCGGAAATACAAAAGAAAAGAAACCTATTGTAAGCTATAAGCATGCCAGGTGTCATTTTGAAAAACCTCCCTCTCACTTTTCCCCCCTCCTCTCTCCACATGATCCATCTTCCTATATCAATAACGAAGAATAGTTTGTTCACTGTTAAATGCATTAATTGTATCAAAGTTTTAATTTGATCAAATTTTTACATCGCATTTTCTTTTGAGCTTGTAAAGTATACACTTGTAATAAATGCTGTTTGAACATACCTATCTAAAATGCGGTGTATACATTGTCTGAGGATCTAACTGCTTTGGAACTTAACATTGTAACATATAGATTTGTAAATAGAGATCAGTTAGAATCAGAACTCCGCTTTAATTACAGTTTATAGTAATTGTACGTTGAGTATTCGGGTTGAGAGGGTTGAGAGCTTACCTCAGTATAGGGGAAAGATCGATTAAGTATTATGCACAAGAAGATCAAGGATTATACACAAGAAGATCAAGGATTATATACCAGGAGATCAAGGATATTACCCAAGTGGATCAAGGATTATACAAAAGTAGATCAAGGATTACACACAAGGAGATCAAGTATTATGCACAAGAAGATCAAGGATTATATACCAGGAGATCAAGGATATTACCAAGTGGATCAAGGATTATACAAAAGTAGATCAAGGATTACACACAAGGAGATCAAGTATTATGCACAAGAAGATCAAGGATTATACACAAGGAGATCAAGGATTATACACAAGGAGATCAAGGATTATACACAAGGAGATCAAGGATTATACACAAGGAGATCAAGGATTATACACAAATGGATCAAGGATTATACACAAGTAGATCAAGGATTATACACAAGGAGATCAAGAATTATACACAAGAAGATTAAGGATTATACACAAGGAGATCAAGGATTATACACAACGAGATCAAGGATTTTACACAAGTAGATCAAGAATTATATGCATTCTGTACCCTGTGGGAGAAATGTAACTAATCTTTGGAAGTAGGAGGAGTGGATCTTGAAGATCACTAGTAATTTAAACATACTCATGTTGTGAGAAGAAATTAAAATTAAAAAATCTTTAGCGACATTTTTTATTAAAAAATGTAACTTAGTTAATAGTTAAAAGTCACGCAACCTTGAATATTTAGGTCTGATTTCGACCAAATTAAGCAGAAAGATCTACTCTATTACAAAGATCTAATAGAATTGATATTTTGTTCATGTTAGCAATCTTTTATATATACTTTTCTTGTCTGTCTGGGTGTCTAATTATCTGTTAAACGGCTGAACCGATCGGGCCCAAATTTTGTGTGGAACCTCACATGAACTCAGGGAAGGTTTATGGGTGCTCAAAATTACAAAAATTGTACCCTAAAGTTTTTGATTTTCGTAAAATTTTGAAAATGCGCGAAAAAATATGATTAAATCCGTGAACTTTTTTTGTTGTTGTTTTATATTGTTAAAAGAGAAGATGTTACAGATCTCACAGATAGAGCTGCAAAATTAAAACTTAAATAGAAGATGGACGAGAAGCGCCGTATAAAAGCCTAGTTCATTATAAATCTTTAAGAGTTGAGATAGCTCAAAGAGTTTGAAAAAAATAAGACCTTATTAGGATCGCAATCATACNTTCTGAAGAATGTGTGGTATGTATGCAAAGATGAATCAAGCATCTTATCCAGGGTAAGCATATCTCCTAGATACACTAGATACACTGTACAATGGGAGACGGATGGGTCAATTACTAGAGATAGGGTCTACTTACTATATATCCAGTAGGGAGTATAGTATAAAGGGATAGCGTTCGTATTCTATATCAAGCAGGGAGAAGCAGAAGGGTTCTATTGGGACGTATATGGAGGTGGGAAGGGGGTATTGCATATACTATTATGGTTTTTATGAAAAGATTATCGGTTATATCTTATAAAATGTAACGTGGACTTTAGCCCCCTCATTCTTAAAACAAGAGCAATCTCCTAGATTAAGAATACAATCCTATATTATCGATCATACAGTGATAACCAGAAAACTCTGGAATAGGAAGACGACTTTTAGACTCAATTTATGACTTTAAATACTCCAATGAGCATGGGACACAGATATTTTGCAGTGTAAACAGACCTATTTTACGTAATTTTAATTTGATAAGCGTCTAGTAAAAATATTTGTTTTAAAACAAATACAATTCATCAAATACATTAAAGTATTGATATGATGTCGTCTTTCTATTCCATTGTTATCTGGTTCTCACTGTATAGTGTATATCTATCATGTAAGATCGTAGAAATGCTGGGGAAAAGAATATGGCACAAAAAAGTGAGAATTAAAGATGAATGACTTGAAACATAAAAAGAATAAAAGATAGGGAAGAAAGAGATAGAACTGATAAAAAGAATTTATTAAAAGATAAATATGGATGAAGGGTGTGCAGTGAGAGGTCTGAGTTTCAATTTTTGTTCTGTAATGGTTTCATATCTTGAATCTGGATTGGTTTGGGTTCAGGTTCAGAATAATATTTTACTCCAGGTCCAGTTGGAGATATGGATTTCTATCCTTCGACTCACGTCTAATAGAAAAAATGAAAAACAAGTGTGTGAGTGAACTCCATTTGACAATAAAAATTCTTTCAGTGCATAAAAATGTCTGAAGACGCGCGAATGTGAAATATTTTAAACCCTTGAAGCCTGGATACTTAGATACTATCTTAATGGATATGTGAGATTTTAAGGCAGAGGGGGGGGGCTGCAAGCAAGGGGAGGGTGGTGGCATTCGAAATTGATATAATTAAATTCTGTTAATAATCTTGATTTAAACAATGGGCTTTAAATCCGAACAACGTATCAAATTAAATGGACCATCATTGTAAGTTCCAGTGAGATCCTTTTTATAGGAGGGGCATGCACAATTCACAAGGATACCCTTGAAACCTATACCTGATTTACAATGGTACCCTTGAAACCTATACCTGATTTACAATGGTACCCTTGAAACCTATACCTGTGGAAAATATTGTTTTTTTTTAATTAAAAAGTGTTTTTGTTTCTGACAATATTTCCCGTTGTTTCTGTGGCAGGGTGTCCCATAAAAAAACAGGCATTTTAAAGCCGCGACAATCTTTTGAATTTAATCGAAAAAGTGCCCATAGTAGATAGTTTTTAATTTTGCCTATGTTTGACGCAAAGCTGTGTCTAATTTTTAAAAAACCTGTTTGTTATGATCATTTTTAGGTAATTCCTTCAAAGTTTGGTTTTAAAAGAGGTTATTTCTTATCATTTCAATGAAACGTAATTTGCCAGCTACTTTATTCAAACTAAGAACTGGGAGTGAATGTATAGTAGTATCCCGTCTACGGACCTATGGTCGATCTATCCATTTAATATGGTAGTGTACTATACTTTTCATAAGTAATGTACTAATTATTTCAATTTCTATAAACAATTGATAATTTTTATTATTTTATTCAATTCTATAATACAGAGAGAAAACAACTTAACAATGCTTAGAAATCCTAATAATGAATACTTCTTTAGGTTAATATAATGTTTATGTTTCAAATTATTTCTTAAAGAGGCCCAATTTGATGTAATGCAAAAAAATCACCTATTTCTATTCTCCAAGGTTCATTAAAGCTGTTCTAATCACCGGGACCGGGATTTCTGCAACCAATATTTTTTAAGGTTTCTCTTCCAAGAGTTCTGGGTATAGGACTACGTATGCACCTTGGATTTCAGAAAGCCCAGAAGAAAAATAGCAGGGGGGGTTCATATAGATTTAACTAAATTGTTTATTTTCTTAAGCAATATTGGTGACCTAATTCAACATAGAGATTTTCGTATATTCGACATTTTTAAGGGATCAGAGGGGTTAAAAAATCCTAATCCCTTTTTTTGGGGTCACCCTGTATAGAGAGAAACACCAATAAAAAATATTTTATTCTCAATATCTAATCATTCTGCATCAGATTTTAGTGTACCGTTGTGAATCGGACATTAATAGAGAGTCCCGAGCATTCCAGGGAGTAAGGAATAGAAGGGAGATATAACTGACGCGGTTCGCCCTTCCATATGATTATGCGCGCTTTGCAGACGGGTACTCCATTTGTATATGAAATGTTCAGAATAGGTTATTGTATACGCGGTAATTGTACATCAGACAAATATTTCTTATACAAATGAAGTACCCGTCTGCAAAGCATGTATAATCATATGGTAGGGCGAACCTCGTCAGTTATATCTCCCTTCTATTCCTTACTCCCTGGTTATCTCACTTCTATTCGTTACTCCCTGATGGAGCATTCTGATAGAATTTAAGTAAATCTAGTTTTAACCCTACTCTATTATATACAGGGGCGTACGAGGGCTTTTATTTAGGGGGGGGCAGAATTTGCGCGCGAAAGCGCGGAAAAAATTTTTTGGAGTCCCCCCCTTGGCAACAGTATGCTCCCCCCCTTAAAAACCCCTTTTTGAAAAAATATTGATTCCTTTCTTTATTTTTTTTTTAACCCCCCCTTGCCTGAACTCCCAGGGGGGGCAACAGGACTACTGCCCCCTGGTACGCCACTGTGCCTGGCCTGAGGAAGGGAAATGCAAGCAGNGGGGGGCGCGGCCCCCCCCCTCGTACGCCCCTGATTATATAAAGAGTTACTTACAAAGGATCAGACGAATTTGCGGATTTTTTTCCTACTCAATTATAGATGTCTTGCTGGTGTAAACTTCTTTCTTCTTTCGTCAAATTTTTATTATACAATTTAAAGACTTTTATAGCAGAAACCCAAACTCAACCTTCTAATTTTTATATGCAAAGAGTTGCAGAGTGTCATTAAAGTGTAATCTTTCTCATCCTTTGTGGGTAACCCTGTACAGTGTTATACATATAAGTATGTTCTATGATTAGTGTACAAATACACATATATTATACATACATAAATACACATACATAAATATACATATATTATACATACATAAATACACATATATTATACATACATAAATACACATATATTATACATACATAAATACACATATATTATACATACATAAATACACAATACACATATATTATACATACACATATACACATATATTATACATACATAAATATACAGATCGTATATCGTCTCAATACCCTGCAAAGATGTTTATCTGAAGGTTAAAATATGAACACAATGACCCCCCCCCACTCCTCCTCCTCCTCCTTCCTCTTCCTCTCATCTTCCTGAGATCGTAACCGAAGCTTAGATTTACAATCGGAAATGCAGGAGCAGTATCTTTATATTTGTATGTTCTTACATTCTTCACTGTTTACAA